GAGAGAGAGAGAGAGAGAGAGAGAGAGAGAGAGAGAGAGAGAGAGAGGCTATGAGAATGAATTAAGGCTAGGCGTGGTAGTTCATGCCTACATCCCCTGCACTTGGGGGCTGTCAAGAAGATGCCATAAGTTTGAGGACACCTGTGCCCAAGTGAGATCCTGTCTCAAAGTACAAATAAAGAAGCAAATAAATAAATAAAATTTCACAAAACTAATGAAAATTAATTTTGAGATGAAAATGATAAGATACAGCACAAAACACATTCAAAGTTCAGAGTATTAGGGATAAAAGGAGCAAAAAAGGCCCCAAGGAGGAAAAAAGCCCATTGCAAAGACTGGGGAATCAGGTGATTCAGATTTTGAAAGAATTACACAAAGAGCTGGAAAGCATTCATGCTTGAAAGTCAGTTCCAAAGGGAATTCTACACCTGGTGTAACTACAGTGAGGGCTTTAGACACACAGCTACTTAACCCTTTACCTCTGGGTGCTAACCAACAAAACAGTGGAGGAAACAAAACTGGAGGAAAACTAAATATCCATGAAAACTCAGAGTTCCTGCATAGACACATACCAGGGAAGGTTCAGGGCAGCAGTTATGCATCAGACAGAGTCCACACTGGAACTGAGTAATGAAGGGCTTAGAGAGAGAACTTCTAAAATAAAGAATGGGACAGATATATCTAAACACATGAAAATATCATTGACAGCAATAAGATAAGACATGTGGAACATCTTTTTTTAAAATTTTTTTTAATGTGGAACATCTTAACAGAACTCAAAAATACACAGACAGAAAGCCAGGTAATTAAAAATAAGGTTGTTATTAACTTCAAAAAAAAGTAAAGGTCTGGACTGTATTTCACTATTTGATTTGGCAGAAAATAATGTCCTTATAATCAAAATAATGAGGTGCTGAGTACTAACTTTACCAGGACTGCACATGTGCAATTACAAAGGAGAAGGGAGGCAGGAGAACAAAGTGGAAAGCTGGAGCTCCACCCACACGGCAGGGGTGAAGGGATGGCGTCAAAACCACACAGCTTCATGGGCTCCTCAGTAATAATGAGGAAAGATGGGAAGGGAGCCAAAGGCCTCGCAGTGGATTCTGATAGAGAACCGTAGGACTCTGCCTCTATTGTACCGCCTTAAAAAACTGTGGACTTATCTAGTGTGGGTGTGTGGGGTGTGCCTGAGTGCCAGAGCACACATGTGCAGGTCAGACAACAACCAGCTGGGGTCAGCTCTCTCCTTCCACCCTGGGTCCTGGAGATGGAGCCAGTGCCTCTACCTGAGGAACCATCTCACAGACCCTGAATAAAACACTATTTTAAAAGCTAGTTTAAAATAATTAAAACTTATTTTTTAAAGTAAATAACTAAATATGGATAATATATTTCATAGATAGAATTCTGTAACTCTCAAGTTATAGCTGCTGGTGTCTTACAAGCACAGCTGCATAACCTACATGAAGAACACTAAGAAATGTTGGCTCAAGAGATATTTAAAAAACTTTTACCCTTCAAAGCAATTTTTTGAAAAAAGTTTAAAACTGTAAATAGCATTATGTTAACCAACCAATTAAATAATACAAACTTGGGAAATACTGTGAATTTTGTAAGGATTTTGGAAAATGCATTGATTGTGAAAATATAATTTCACAATTTACTGATTGGTAAAACAGTAACAAATAGACAAAAATGGGTCAGCTAGGAAGGAGTAAGCTCAACATCCCTACCTCAAAACCCACAAGTCCTAAACATTCTGAAACCTGTCACTTTCCAGCCAGTGTGATGCCACAGCTGACTTCAAGAGATGGAACCAAACATGGGTACACTTAAAATCCGGCCATGGCCTCAGGAGTGTGTGAAACAGAAACAGACTTTGTTTACGCTTGTCTCATCTCAGACATCTTGAAATGTGCATTTTAGATAAAGGTTAATTTCCCCAAGATTGTCTTTTTTATATATATATAGATTTGCCCATACACAGCAGCCTTACCTGAACAGTGCGCCCTGCATTGATGTGTTCTTCATGCAATTTGTCCCAAATTCTGCACCGCTGATACTATTGAACAAAAACCAAAAAATAGGGAAAGTGAGTGCTGAGTTTTACATCACGAGACCATGTCCAGTTACCACAAAGCCCTTACTCATCTACTCAAACATAAGAGGAAGGAAAAACCATGATTTTTGTAATGATAATTATCTTTCTGAAGGCTTTCAATGTTACATTTTTAAAATTTAGAACTAATAGCGAACAATAACACAAAATACTATCAGACCAAATTACTTTTAAAAAAGACAAAATAAAGGTTTTGTCTATGGACAGATTCTCTGGGGAAGGGAAATACAGAGAATGATATAGAAGAAGCTGGAAGATGGACAGGACTCCTCCTCATGATCCTTAATATGTATGAAGAATTTTAGGTATTTGTTAGTAGAGTGATGTTGACTACTTAAAACTAAGATAAAAAATTTAAAAAGCAGGCAGAAAGAAAAAGATGCTTGAAATGCAGAGGAACAAAGACAAGAGTGACAGAAGTCCCTGATGAACAAGACAAGTCAGGAGACAATGGAACAACATGTTGGCCACAGGGAAGAGACTCAGCTCAACAGCCACCACCCAGGGAAGTGAAGGAGAAGCGTAGACACATATGCAGCAGCTGACCCCATCACAAGTGCACAGACACTATGAGAAATGTTGATGGTACCTGACAGAACTCATTCTCCACAAAGCAATGAGGAGTATAGACAAATGGTAAAACACAGATAAATATCAACTTTTTAATTATTTCTGAACTCTTAGGCTAGCAAGATGGTTCAGCAAATGGGTGCTAAGTCTAACTACCTGAGTTCCATTTCCAGGACCAACTCCTGCAGGTTGTCCTCTGACTTTCACATGGCACATGTGCCTGCATACACACATACACACACACACACACACACACACACACACACACACACTATAAGTATGTATATTGTGAATCATGAGGCAGGTGCTAAAAAGTAATCCACAAAGATTACATCATACTTAGTGGAGAAGGACCCTTCTCTAAGACTGGAAAGAAGATGAAAATACGATCTTATCAGTGGCAGTTAGTAAGACACTGGAAACTCTAGTCAGCACTATAGGGCACAACAAAGACAAAGGAAGGAATGAAGGGAGGGAGAGAAAAAGACAGGAAGAGATGCAGAGGAAGGGATGGAGAGGGGGACAGATGGAGGGAAATCAGAAAGGAAGCTCCCTTCATAGGTGCCATGACTAACTACAGAGAAAATATTAACAATCTACAGAAAAGCTAGCAGATGGACCAGTGGTTAAGGGTCATAAAGTGAGTATTACTTACGTATTGAAGATAATATCTACTCCAAAGTACCGATAAGAGTAACTGCCTCACCTTGACTACCAAATATTAAAAATACAAAACAGGAACCAACATGAAGAGCGACAGGAATGTTCTAAGTCTAATATATTAGAAATTACTGACAGGCAGTTCACTAATTACATACTCCACTTTTGAGTAAACACCTTGTGCATATATTTTTTCCATATATTTGTATGTGAGCTGTGCATATGTGCTTACCTTTGTATGACTGTTCATGTCAGGAGGTGTGAATGTGTGTGCACGAGTGTGTAGAGGCAAGATAGTAACATCAGTTATTGTGGTGGTTTGTCTACCTCAGTTATTCTCCACTGTATTTACTAAGTCAGGGTCTTGAGCTTAACCTGGAGCTTGTTGACTTAACTAGTCTAACTAGTCAGCTTGCCCTGATGTGCTGGCTAGTTCTTATGTCAATGTGACACAGCTGGAGTCATCTGACAGGAGGGGATAGCAAATGAAAAAAAAATCCCTTCATTTGATCATAAGATCAGACTAGAGGCAAGACTATAGAACATTTCCATAATTAGTGATTGATGTAGGAGAGCCAGCCAAATGTGGGTGATGCTCGCTCAGGGCTAGTGGTCCTGAGCATCATAAGAAAGCAGGTAAGTCAGCTAGTAAGCAGCATTCTTCCATGGCCTCTGCTTCAGTTTCTGTCCTGCTTGAGTTCCTGCCCTGACTTCCTCAGTGATGGACTGTGACCCACAAGCGCGGGCTAAAGTAAGCCCTTTCCTCCTGCTTGCTTTTGGTCATGATCTTTATCACAGCAACAGAAACCCCAACTAAAACTCCTGGAAATCCCATCTCTGCCTCAAGTTTTTAGATTACAAGCAGGCCACCATACCTGCTTAACTTTTATGTGGGTGCTGGAGACCTAAATTCTGGTCCTCATACTTGTTTGGCAAGCACTTTATTTATTGAGCGATCTCTCCAGTCTCATCATATAATATCTTACTCCTTATACTGATCTTATGCAATTATAATTTCACCATCATAACTGGAAAAGCTTTGTTCCAAATAGTAAAGCATGGAAGCTAAGTCTGTAAAGGTTAGGTCTACTGCATAGTGCTGTGTTAAGATGCAGTGTTTATATCTGAGGCAATGGTATCCATCAGAGCACCCGCCATAGGAGGTACCTGAGCTAGGAGCTGAACAAAATACAAAGCTTGAATGGCAGCAGATGGTAAAATGCATGCTTGCAATCTCAGCTAGTGAGATGGCTGAGCAGACAAAGGTGCTTGTCCCTAAGCCCAAGACCTGAGTTTAATTTCTAGGAGCCAAAACATAGAAGGAAGAGAACTGACTTCAAAGGTTGTCCTCTGACCTCCACATCTACAGTGCAGAGGCATGTCCACACACATACACATAAATAAATAAATGTGAAAAAAATCTAAAAACAAAACAAACAACACTTGACCAGTAAAGCTACTATAAAACTAAGTGCTATGACAAGAAAATTTGTAACAGAACTCTCAATAAAGGAAAACAGCAGCCTTTTCTACTGCTGTCTTTATTTGCCTACTCATCAAAGAGACTATATAGAAGGGATTACTGTCTCAATGCATTATCTCTTATTATAGTGAGTTATAAGAAAATAAAGAATAAAATAATTCAGTTTGCTACTGCTTACTATTCAATTTTATGTGAAATTAGAATATACTGTGAAAGCTATTATCCCAAATATTTGGTGAGTGGGGGAGCAGAGTGATATACTAATATATGTGAAAACCCCTATAGAGGCAACCTTTAAACTTGCAGTTAAGTTTGGGCTGCTGGCTAGCATCTCTAAGTGGCTGGTTTTATGCAAGATGGTCTTTGTCTGACCGTACAGCAGGACAGGCAAGTGAATTAAGGAAGAACCTCGGCATTATGCTTTGGGTTACTAAATACAAAAACACAAACTTAAGTGGCTCCAACAAGAAACAGACTCCCTACGCCACACAGAAAGCAGCCAGGAGTGTGGCAATCATCCCAGGGTAGTTCAATACAGGCACTAACAAGGTCATCAAGTTCCAGGTTCCACCTTCTGCACTTTCAAAAAAGCCCTCAGATTTGTCTCCCAATGCAGTAAGGCTGGCTATACTTCCAATACAGCATGAAGACATAACCAGACGACTAGAAGAGAGGAGACTGTTTCCTTACATGTGTATCTTTTTAAAGTAGAAAAATATTTCTGGAGGTTTCCAAATTCCTACCAAGCTTCTGGTCAAGACTTACTGGCCAGAACTGCAAGATGTGCCTATAGCTCCCTGATAACCAAACATAGGCAAGAGCTGAATTATCACATTCATCACACCTAGTACTATTCACCATCGCCTGAGTTTGGCAAAGGAAACAGTCACAGGATGGAGAGGGGGGTTATACTGTAATTACAAACAAATAAATATGAACAAATACATAAATACTAAGTCAGTCGTCTTCTTTCATTTGGTACTGCTGGGTTCATGCCGTCCATTTCACACTATTCATAAGCTACCTTTCATCATTCTTGGATTATTTTTCTATTTTTCCTTAACTGAACTGCAAGCTTCCTGAGGATTGAAAATCTATTTCTGCATATTATTCAAGGCTAGAAATCTAAGAAACAGCCAATACTAAACACCCATAAATACTTAAGGAAAGCTAATATTTATTTCCTGTAATAAATAATCTCGTTTCTCATTAAACCTGGCAGATTGAATACAAATATTCACGTCTGCTCTTTTCCAAAATCCTATGAAAGGACAATAAAGAATGTTAAGAGGTGAAAATTCACAAGAGCAATAAGAAGACAACAATAGACAAAAGCTTCCAGGCAAACTTCAGAAGCCGGGAAGAATACAGACTGTAGCGGACACAGCAGAGCAGAGAGAGCAGCCGTCTAGACTGCAGAGACGGCTGGAGGGGAGAGAAACACGGAGGCCACAGGCGACTGTCCTCCAGGAAGGCTGGACATCCAGACATACTAGGTGCAGGTGACCAGTTAAAAAGTGTGGTAGAGAGAAAAGCAGGTTTAGTGGCAGGGTTACATAAGCCCCTCACAGTTACCACGTCACTGCCCTGTCCCATAATCACAGAAGGTAACCCTCTCTTAAGGGGCCAACTAGAGAACCTGGAGCCTGGACTCCAAGCCTAACAAGGGCAAAGAGAGGATACTGTACTCAAGCAGCCTGAAGTGGTGGTGAGCCTGTCATCTTCTTTGCTCACTTTCCCTCTCTTAGGTCAGATGGATGGTCACATAATGTACAGTATACTTACCCCTTTTAGCTCCCCCAAACCCCACTTCATCCCTGCAACAGCATCACCTCTAATAAAATAACTCCATCAGATAGACTGGGGTTAAAACAAAGATGTTAACTTTGTAAATGTTAAGGTCTACTTCACAGGGTTGTGTCAAGATAATGTGTTTAAATATAAGGTGATGACATCAATCAGCACACTTCACAGGAAGTTCCAGAGCTGGGATCTGAACAAAGAACAAAGCTCGAATGAAGGTAAATGATGGGGTGCATGTCATTAACAGATGTAAGACAGAAAGCAAAATTACTCAGGGCCATACTTTCTCTACCTTCTTTACTGAGGAATTCACCTTCAAAATAGAAAGAGGCTAATAAGATCATTAGGAGGAAAATGAAGCTGGGTAGGATGGAGCATGCCTGCAGGTAATGGATGACTTCCATTACCATGAGAGATGAGATGGAGGCAAACCTAAGGCAAACAAACTTCACCCTATCTGATAAGCCATTTGGAAGTTTTCAGTCCTGTGTGTACATTCCTCACAGTAAGTTTCTTCTTAGATCCCAACAATATGAAACAAAGAAAACTGTGTTTCAAGTTGGCTATCTCGTATCTATTTACTGTGCTATACCTAAGATGCATTAGCTAGGAAAGCTGAATGCTAAGGCTTCAGACTCCAGGATCACATGCTAATAACACTTATCATGTGTAACAGTGTGCTGCTCAAGGGCCTGTGGAGCATGGCCCAGGTGTCCACAGCACACTGCTCTCATTGTTTTCATTGCTGCAGAATCACTCTGCTACAGGCTTGCCTTCAATTTCCCTCCAGTCTGGCTTTTTTCTCTTAAATTCATATTGGATGACTGATGGCCAGAATAATAAATATTTTATCTTTCTACACCTTTTCCTCAAGAAGAATATGCCTTTTGAAAGTGAGGCACCGTAAGACACCTGGAGCCTAAATTTAGTTAACTGTCCTGTTCAGAGTGAGCACTACAGTTTTTAAATATGTTTACATGTCATAGCCTATCCATCAAAATATGCTATTCAATCCTATATAGAGAAAGAGGTATTTTCATAATTAAACTAGAAACCCTACAGTGAAATGTTCAAATATATTTGAGTTTGCCTTCTTAGCTTTAGATATTATCATCTGTCTATCCATTATAATTATCTGAATGTTTGAAGGTTTCATAATAAGTAAAAATGCTAAAAGAAAAATGTTCAGGCAGAGCAGAATCAATGGTACTGACTCCAAGATAATTCTCTTGTGACACCTGGTACAACTAATTCAATCAGTAGTGGACCTATTCCTTTCACACCACCTTGCTGCAGGGTTCTCACTTTCCATTGGTAGGACTGCACACACATGTAGTGAGAATTGAAGGGTAATGCCAGCAGGCATTTTCATACAAGATAAGAAAGATGTGTTAAATCTCAAAGGTAAAGTAGGACAATAAAGGGACATGGCTTTAGTGGCTCACAGACCTCTTGTTTCTACCTTTTAGAATCAATTCATCTACCTAATGCTTACCATCTTTGTAATGGAGACATTGATATGGCTCAGGACTTTAAAACAGACCTTACCAAATCTTTTACACATTTAGTAACACTGTAACAATATAGAAACAGAACTGCTTATTTTGGATCGCTCAACTCTAGGTAGAAGATTTGATATGTTTCTCTATCTCATGAAGCAAACATGGAATCCCTACACGTTTCCATTTCAAGAATAAACAGTTTACCAGACAGTTCCTTCTGTATCCTTAAGAGCTATAACTATCACCCATGCCTTATATGTAAAGAAGAAAGGAATTAGGGATGAAAAAAATATTAATACTGAATTCTAAAAAAAAAATCCTCAGAGAAATTTCCATTGCAGACATCTTAGAAATTAGTTTCTTAGAAATTAGTTTTTTAAAAAGCACTTAAATACTAGAAAAATTGATAGGGAAAAACATTTGGTATTTGTAATGAATAAAGCTTATACTGAAAAGTTTAATGACCACATTGTTCACCCTAATCCTAAAATTAAAAAAGAGAAGTAGAGGAGAATACAGCTCAGTGTTTAAAGCAGCAGACACCCCACCTTCCCAAGCTAGGGCTCACGTCTCAGGAAACCCGAGGCTGCTGTACCTGTAAGCCCACCACAGCCTATCCAGGGCAGGGGGTACGCTGGTCTCTGAGCGATTTGTCTGCCCTCTGCCTATGTCCCCAGCCCACCTCGGCGGTACTGCTCAAAGAAAAGCAGCAGAGAAAGGAAATTCCCTCACATCACACAATTATCTCCATCTTTACACGGAGAGGAGAGTTACTGATAGGCACGGGTTCAAAACACTTGCCATGGGGTGAAGGGAATGAAGGCAGCTGCATGAGCCACGGCTCCTGTCTTCACATCATGAGCACTAGCAAACAGTTTACTTAATTACTAACTACCTAAAGCCCCCACGTGCAAATTTTTTAATCACACGTGAAGGTAGGAGTAGAGTAGGAACAAATTCTACTCCTAGCTCCCTTCTTCGACATAATAAAGGAATATATAAGAATTACATTTGTAGACCATGAAGACCAGCTTGTAGACCATGAAGACCAGCATCAGCAGGTTGGAAGTCTCAGGTTCTCTATTCAGCTGAAATCCTGAGACAGCAAGTAAGAATCCAGGCAGGTACCTGATTCTGCAGTGGAAACAAATGCTCACCTTCTCAATGTTTATCTGGTGTTTTCTTAACCTCTCCAGGTCCGTTGGGATCACTATCTTAGTGAATTTCTGGATAGCTGGCTCAAGTCGGCGTAACTTCACCTTTTCTTCATCTTCAGACATCCTAAAGCCTGTTGAGCCACGTCCACTTGTAGCGGCTCTATTCTCTCACGCAGAAACACCTAAAGAGAAAGATTTAAGAATGCTTTTACAACAGGTTCCATTGTTTTAGAAATAAACAAATGCAGGGCTGGAGAGACAGCTCATCGGTTAGAAGAACTGGCTGCTTTTCCAGAGGACCCAAGTTTGGTTCCCAGCACACACATGCTGGCGCACAACCACCTGGAACTCCAGTTCCAGTCCTGACACCATTTTCTGCCCCCTCTGGCACTGCACACATGGTGTACAGACATACATGCAGGCAAACACTCATACATGCAAAAATTTTTAAAAACAAAAAATCAACAAATATGCAATTACTCTTTACTCTAAATGCATATCAAACCCAAAACTGAACTTGAATGGCTTGGTTTTTTTCTATCAAATGATGTATATTAAAATATTCTCTTCATTAAAGTAGTATCTAGTCTTTTAAAGGACTCTTCAAACTGTTTCATTTTCATAGCACAGGTAGGACAGGAACTATGTAACTGTAGGCTGGCCTGGAAACCGTGATCCTCCCCACCTCCCTAGCTTCTCTAGATGTTCATAAAATATGAATAAGTGCAGGCCCATGAGATGGCTCAGTGGGTCAAAGAGCTTACCTCCGAGCCTGAAGATCTGAGTTCAATACCTGGAACCCACAGAGTAGAGGGAAAGAGGTGACTTCTCTAACTAATGCAGTACCTGTGTCCCACACGGGCACACGTGCATGCACACACATACTCTTTAAATAAATAAAAAGGCAATCAAAAAGTTTAAAGAAAGTGCAAAAATGAACAGAATAAAACTATCAATGATCTCTTTAACCTTAAGAACATACTCTCTACATTCTGATGGCTGTCTTCTGAAGTCTTTTGCAGTATCAAGTATGTAGGTCAACACCACTAAAAACAAGGACTTCCTGATATGCTTTGGACACTGAATAGCTATCTTTTAAAAGAATTGCCAAATAGCAGAACTGCAAGGAAAATTTTCACTTGATATTTTTGCTTATATGAAACTTCACTTCCAATGTCATAATAATGTAATTGTGTAATTATATACTTCAAGTACACTGCAGAATACAGAGCTCCTTTCACTGAAGGCCCTCATCTCCTCCTTATTAAACAAGGTGATTAGCAATGTCTACTAAATGAACAGCAATAGAACTCCAATATGAAGCATATTTATAAGGCCAGGGCATGGCTCAGTGGGTAAGGGCACTTGCTACCAAGACACAGCTTAAGTGTGATCCCCAGGTCCTTCATGGGAGAGACCTGACTTCCTCTGACTTCTGCATGCACACCGTAGCATGTGAATGACAAACACATAAATAAAAGTACCTGAATTTTTTTTAAAGAACCGGATTCTTGCAGATATATGGAGATTTTTTTCCCCTGTTTTATCAGGATTCTATAGCAATATAAAAAGTCCTAGCATACGCTTTTGGGGACAGGAAAGGAGAGGTAAGAGCTAAAAGTAAGCATGCTCCAGAACCCTACATTGGCTTAACTAGACAAATTTTACTTACATCAATTTTATAAATTTGAGCTTGTAACAGATTTTACATAAACGATGTACTCTCCTATTTAGCTAAGCTTGAATACCACCAAAGTTTATCATGCCTTGATGCCACCTCTTCAGCCCATAGCCCAAGAATAACAAAGTTGAACATATACTCCTGTTGGGTTACGGCTTCTCAATCCAGGCCTCAGCGATACACATTCATGTACTGAGTCTGTGAGACCCTGAATTTTTAAGATTCATTGTTTCCAGATTCTCAAAGAGATCTAATGCCCCCAACATTAAGAACTGCTTTAACTACATTCTGGTTTTCTCCTTTCTTCCACAGTTGAAAATCTTGAAGCAACAGCTATAAAAACGCCTTCCATTACCCTTGACAAAGAACTTGGTTCTTATGCTTAATACAAGCTCCCAAGGAAAATAAATGTTCAGGTACCACGAGCAGAATTAAAACAGAACCCCAGGGCAGACTGGAACTAGAGACATATGGAGAAGTACAGTGTGAGAAGAAATTTACTCAAGAAAAAACGAACAAACAGAAAATAGCAAAGGGCCTAGAGTTGAGAAAGTGACCAAAAAGAGAAATACTGTCAAGTCTGTTCCTAAACAGACAGAGACATACATGAAGAAGCAGACTTTTCAAAAGGACATAAAAGAAGGATTGCGTTTCTTTTTAAAAAGTAGTACGTTACAAAAGAGTGAAGTGGTAAACAGCTGGAGAGAAGACTACTGAACAGACGCTCTCAGAACTCAGAGGATAAAGAATATGAGGAGACAAAGGACATAAACTCACAACCTCAGGAACCAACAGAAAAGAAAACAGAAAACATACAAAGAAAATATTCTGAGAATTAAGGCAGAAGATCTCAAGTTGAAAAAGCACATAGCCCAGCTAGTATAAATAAAAACAAACTTGCATAAGCACATGATGGGAAACTGCAGAGCATCAAGGACAAAGAAAAAAATCTTAAAAAACAAACCAGAGCTAAGAGATAAATGAAAACAACAAAGCAGCCGACTTTTCATCAAAGCAATGTATCAAAGATAGGAACGTCTTCAAAGTACCAGGGAGCTGCTACATACCCAGGCAAATTATCATTTATGGTGAATCAAAATAATTATTTTCAGACATGCAAGACTGAGTTTAACAAACTCCTCATTAAAAGAAACTACTAAAAGGAGAGGGAGGGAGGAAAGCAGGGAAGAAGGGAGGAAGAGACACAGAAAGAAACTGTGTGTGTGTGAGAGTGTATGTGTGTATATGTGCATGCACGCACACGTGCACACATGCTTGCTCTCATGTATGTTCACAAACATTTCTTCTTGGTGCACGTCAGGATCCCTAGAGTCTGTTAAGATATCTGGTAGGTAATGTGGTCAATAAACATTAAATTCACCCTTCTGCCCTTCAAAACACTACAAAGGAATATAAAAAACATACTTGAACAATAAAGAAAATAAAAAGATAGAATGAACACAATACCCTATTACTGGACTGAATGGATGAATGAATGCTGGATTTATTTTGAATAACATGATCAAGGATATGGGAAATGTTACCATGTAGATATTTTATTATGTACTTTTAGTAGCATAGGATTACAATGTGAATGTTCCATAATCTAATCATTCACTGTGTGCTATTTAAGATGATCCCAATTTTCCACTATTATAAACAAATTGTGATTACTTTCCTCATACATTAATCCATACTACCACCAATGATTACTTAATATAGATAGCTAAAAATAGAAATATTAAGCAGACACACTTTAAGTTTAAAAATATACACATTGTCAAATATGCCATAAAAGGTTCTTCCAATTTACATTCCACCAGAAGCACTTCTACATATTCTAACCAATTAAGTATGATTAGTGGGCGAAAATGGTACCTCAAGAGACTTTTCTAGTTCAGTCTCTATCTAACAAAAAATTGAAAATACTTTCCTCTATCATTTTCTATTTTTACAAAATTATAATATATAGTCATATAGTATATCTGAGAGCATGACATTCCAATGTTATGCAGAATGTTACCGTAACAAATATTGTCTAGCATGGCATCACACCACGAAATAGTTAACATTCATTGTCAGAATGTGTGTGGAAGTGTGTTTAAATACTGACTGAAAGTACTTTTCAGCACTTTTTATTTTTTTACTCATAAAGTTGCAACATGTTATATGATTAAAACACTAAACTAAAAAATATAAAAGATCCCACACCTGTAAAAAGTCCAAAAATAAAATGCCTAAGTTCCCAAACTTCTATAAAGTTGTTATATTATTTTAATAGTTTAAAAAAGTATAAAATATTTGTGATAGAATTTATTCTGTCATGGTGAGGTGATATACAGCTATCTGCACTTGTCAAAACCCATGGGGCTGTATGCATTAAAGAGGAAATGTACTGCATAAAAATTTAAAAACACCAAGATATGGGAGAAATATAAAATGAAAAATAAGATATCAAAATAAGACTGAGTTACCATAGAACTAAGCGGAGGGTGTGAGGGGTGGGTGAGGGAGCAATCAAAGCCCAGAATATGGTCGTTTTGCTGAACCTTGAAAGGCTAAAGATTAAAACAGTTGTACTGTGTGCTTCTCTCTGTTGCAGAATATTTGTTTAACTATGGAAAGGTGTGTTGCATTTGTTTGATTATATAACGATGTGTTGCTATTTTGCCTTGCCTGCTTAGGACACCTAAGTGGTTTAATAAAAAGCTGAATGGCCAATAGCAAGGGAGGAGGTATAGGCAGGATTTCTGGGTAGGGAGAATAAGTAGGAGGAGAAATTTAGGCTGGAGGAAGAAAGAAAAAGAGGCCACCAGGGGCCAGAGAGACAGACACGAAGGAAGCAGGAAAGTAGGACATACAGAATGTAAGAACGATAAAAAGCCCCATGGCAAGCATAGATGAATAGAAACTGGTTAAACTAAGTTAAAAGAGCTAGTGGGACTAGGCTAAGACTGAGCATTCACAAGTAATAAGTCTCCATGTCTTTATCTGGGAGCTAGTTGGCAGTCCAAAGAAAATTCCAACTACATCTCTCAGTAGTATATTTTAGATATCCTGGAGTTACTGTCTGCCCATACCAGGACTGAACAAATAAGGAAACATTTCCCAGAAAATGAGTCAGTTGTCACTGTTAGACAACAAGCAGGAGCAAATACCAGGGTGAACCTGGTGGTGTGAAAAGACAGATACCGCTCTGCTCTTTTTTTTAAAAAAAAAAAAACCTATTCACAAATAAATACATAAATAAACATTGATCTTGCATGCATGGGTGTGTATATATGCATAGACTGCGGTCCTCTGTAAGACTCTGAAAGCAATGACACCCTAGTAGTAGCCATAAGCACACCCAGACCACAGGGATTGGGATCTAATACCATTCTGAAAGACAGGACCAACAAGAGAGAGAAGGAAACCAGGAGCCCTTGGAGAAGTGGCTGATTCCAGGACTGGGGCAGGCAAAACATAGGGGTACAGAAAACAAGCACAATAAAACCTCCCAATGGTCAAAGTGAGAACAATCTGATATAGTAAGTGCATAATAACAGAAAAAAAACATATGTAGTTTTGTTTTGGATTTTCTAAGACAAAGTTTCTCTGGCTGCCCTGGAACTCAGCTCTGTAGCCTGCCAAGTGCTGGGGTTAAAGGTGTGCACCACTACCACCCAGCAATCATAGGAGTTTATGTTGACACAAAGAATTGAATACAGAAAAAGAAATAGGAAGAACGGACAGCTCCTTTTTAGACAACAATTTCAGCAAAAGAAGGAGAGTAACTGAACGGTACCACAGCACCAAAGTAATGGTACTTGGAGAATCACCGGAGTAGTAATTGCTGTGGAGAATTCCCCAGACACCAAGTTTAATTAAGTGATCAAGGTTGACACCACAGGCAGCAGATCCCACGTGAAGGCTCCATGGTGGCATAAACTGAAAAGAGCCCTAGTGCCTTGTGGTATTCCTAGCAAAAAATTCCAAACAATCTCTTCACAACAAACAAGAGCCAACTTCCTACTTGAAAGGCACTACCAACTCCTGACTCTTCAAACGCACAGAAGCCACCACACGTAGCAGACTGGAAAAGGTGATAGTGTTATGAGGATAAAGAGTGAGGTTGGGTCTTAGGTCCCATTGAACACAGAATGTACTCTAATAAAGAGTGGACTCACAAGAGACCCAGTTAACTCTAATATTAATCTCTTGCTCTCAGTGACTGTACTTTGTATGGTATGTAAAATGCTAACACAAGGAAAGCTATCGTTTTCTGTATTACTTGTGTGATCTGTTTCTTGTTTTGTTTTTCGAGTCAGGGTTTCTCCTGTATCCCTGGCTGTCCTGGAACTTGCTCTGTAGACCAGGCTGGCCTTGAATTCCCAGAGATCGTCCTGCCTTTGCCTCCCAAGTGCTGGGATTAAATGCTTGGCCACCACCCCCCAGCTACTTGTGTGAACTATCAATAACTGTAAATTACTCCACAGTTTTTGTGTTTGTGTATGTATAAGAATTGCTGTTTCGTGAACGAAAAAACATTTAGAAGCCAGGACTGTAATCATTTTCCTGGCATACACACTTGCAGTGAGACGTGTCAAGTGCTTTACAAACTTGATCTCCTGGAACTCGCAACTATGATGAGATGGGTACCATTTTACTCAGGGTCCCAAAGAAGAAAAAGTACTCAAATGTGAAGTAAATGATCCCAGAGTTATTTATAAGTGAAAAAGCCCCTTTCCTAGATAGTGTCCCAAATAGTTGACAACACCACCCCTCAAAGTAACGCGTCTCCGTGGGCTTGTGGGTGGAGCACAGGGTGTTGACTTTAGGGTGCAGGCCCGGACCCCACAGCTGCGGCCTCTAGGCGTCCTGCCTGGGCACCGCGTCGCGTCGTCCCCCTTGGCGTCACCAGGGCGCACCCGGGCCACACCGACGCCCACAGCGGCGCGGCTAGGCGGGTGACCCGACGACCCAGGGCCGGGAACGTCTCTCCACAGCGATCCCGGAGGCCTTGGCACCGCGGGGTCCCGTCCTCCCCACGCCCGCTGGTGACAGCTGCTCCAAAACTGAAACCTGGGAGGCTCGGTCACTTCTAGACGCGGCCCGGCGTTCGCACCAACCCGAAGCCGGGCCGGCTGCCTGGCGCCTCTCACGGGCGTCCACACCCCGGCCCGCGGTGCCACATCGCAGCCCGGTGCCCCCGAGGAGGCCGCCCGTCAGCCCCTTACCTCCCGCCTAGGCGCTCGAGGCCGTCGACACTCACTGCGCAGGCGCGAGAGGGGCGGGGCGTCTCCGGGGGGCGGGGTCGAGCGGGCCCGCCCCCCCGCATCCCAGCGGGAGGAGAGGCAGGATGGACTGTCCCAGCCTCTGGAGGAATGGTTCCACGCGGGCTTTGGAGGTCGTCCTGTGTCCTGTGTCCACGACGATTTACATTTTGATAACCCCCTACCTGCTACAGTTTTCCTGCACATTTTCTTGTGCTCGCTGAATTTTGTTGGCGAGGACGACCACGTGTCTTTAACTCTTTAGGTGTGTGGAAACTGAAGCTCAGAGAGGTGTGCCATTCCTCTTGGCCTGCCCTTCAAAGCACCTGAGTGAAAGGCTGGAGGGGTCTTAATGGCCAAGGGCACAGATAGAAGCAGAAACAAGTTATGGTTTTGTTCAGAGCGTGCTGCAGTGTTTTGGGCGTCTGTTCTTATTAAAACGATAGTTGGTGACTTTGAGGCGCAGCACAAATTTGAAGTGACTCATTCCAGTTCAGCCTGTTTGTGACAAAGCAGAACTCCCAGCTGATTTTCCTAATTTTCTTCTCAAGTCGTTCCTGTTGGACCGGGTGCGGCAAGAACAAGCTTTGAAGTGTGTGCAGGTTACTGGCCCTCCTCTCTGAATGGTCATTCCTTCGGATCCAGTCAGCCAATGGTGTGCGTGTGTGTGCGCGCGCACGTGTGTGTATGTGTGTGCATGCAAGGATGTGCATGTGTGTATATATATATATATCAGATCGTTGCTTAGAATGGATCCCTTCATGATGTAGTTTTCAACAATCTTAAGGATGTTCATATCAACTCTAAGCAAACTCAGTTCTTTTTTGCTTATCTGTTTTATTTTTTGTTTTTCGTAACAGGGTTTCCCTGTAACATTGAGTCTGTCGTGGAACTAGCTCTTGTAGATCAGGCTGGCCTCAAACTCACAGAGATCCACCTGCCTTTGCCTCCTGAGTGCTGGGATTAAAGGAGTGCACCACCACCGCCCAGAGTAAACTCTGTTCTTAATGTCTGCAGGTGGAATGGAAGTGGAGGGAGAATTTTGGCCCTCAGATTAGGGGTTTAAGAAAGTATTGGAAGCAATTTCTAAAATAAAATAAATGACATACTAAAAGATTTAGATTTTCTTTGGGGGTATACTGGGTGCTATTGTTTATGGTACGCTTAGTTCAAAGAATGGGGTATCAATCAAATTTTCATCCTAAGGAGAAAAAAATAAAGACATTAGGCAATACCAAAGTAAACACTTTTTTTTTTATTGTTAGAGTCAGTTAAACAAGAAAGCTAGTATAGGGTTTAACTGGGGAAAAAAGCCTGCTGTGCAAGATTGAAGACCTGCGTTCGGGCACCTAGGACCCACATAAAATGCCAAGCTCTGTGGCATGTGTTTGTAATCCTAACACTTCGGAGACAGACAGGAGGACCCATGAGCTGGCTGGCCATCTGGTCTTGCTGCGTCGGTGAGTTCCAGGTTCACTGAGACCCTATGCTGTCACACACACCAAGAATCAGTTAAACAAGATCTTTTGAATGAAAGATAATTGGAATTGAGTTCTGAAAAGGAGACCTCCAGTGCAATAGGGAGCCATGACACCCAAGGATTGACTTTGGCCTTCTTGGTGGTTATATGATGTTTGCTCTAACTTAGGTGTGTCATGTAGAAAGATAAAACCACTTAATCTAACAGTTTGGCTAGCAGGTATAATCTTTCAATATGTACACATAAGCCATATGTCCTTTTTTGTGCTCTTTCCCTAAGCCATGAAGGTATTAGGGTCAGGTCTACTGCTACAAGACAAAGTTTTCCTGAGTTCCTAACTGGACCCAGGAGATTCAAATGAAACAAAACTGAAAGTAGTATACATTTTTGGAAAGAAACTAAAAAGAAATTACTGTCTGGTAGCATGCTTGTTTTCAAGTAGAGCCAGTGGGAAGGCTAATTTGCCACAATAATTTGTATATGATTGACTATCTTTCCAGACCACTCCTTCCCTGGGAAATGCTCTACCCCTCCAGATCTAAATGCTAAAACTTACAGGCCTATGGCGAGCACTTTATATGAACATGAACTTGGGCACCTGATCAGGAAATATGCCTGACTCAAACTAGAAAAATAAAATATATCCTGGAAATTTGAAATTGAAAGATTAGAAGTAAAATTTAAGTTTCAGTTTATGCGGTGTATTGGATAGTTTTATGTCAACTTGACACAGGCAGAAGTCATCTGGGGGGAGGGAACCTCAGATGAGAAGATGCCTCCATAAGACCTGGCTGTAAGCAAGACTGCAGGACATTTTCTTAATTAGTGATTAATTAATCAGACCATCGTGGGTGGTACCATCCCTGGGCTGGTGGCCCTGGGTTCTATAAGAAAGCAGGCTGAGCAAGCCATGAGAAGCAATCCAGTAAGCAGTACTCCTCTATGGCCTCTGCATTAGTTCCTGCTTCCAGGTTCCTGCCCTGCATGAGTTCCTACCCTGACTTCCTTTGATGATGAACTGTTATATGGAAGTATGAACAGAAAAAAAAAAAACCCTTTCCTCCCTAAGTTGCTTTTGATCGTGGTGCTCCGTCACAGTAATAGTAGCCCTACCTAAGACAGGCAGGATCTTTTTCTTAGAGAAAATATTTTATTTTATTTTTTGATAAAATATAAGATAAAAACAAAACTCATCACATTGAAGTTGGACAAGGCAACCCAAGAGAAGAAAAAGGGCCCCAAGAGAAGTCACAAGAATCAGAGACCCATTCATTCACACGTTCAGGAATCCCATAAAAACACTAAACTGAAAGCTGTAATATATACACAAAGGATCTGGTACAGACCCACGTACGTCCTGTGTTGCTGCTTCAGTCTCTGAGTTCAGATGAGCTTTGCTCGGTTGATTTAGGAGGCTTTGTTCACCTGGTATACCCCATCCCCTCTGACTCTTACACTTTCTCTGCCTACTCTTCTGCCGGGTTCCCTTTCCTTTAACTGTTCTAACAACCTCAGGGGAAATTCAAACAACTCTCAATCAATACACAATTGCAGACATGCAATTCTGGTATTTCTGTCGCCCTTGAATTGAATGTTTCCACTAATCAGCTTCTTTGTTCCCTGATACTTGTCTCTTGGCACCAGACAGACACACAGACACAGGCATGTCCATACACCATTGCCACCATCACCAAGCAATCTGCTCATCTTTATGAAGAGTCTAGAACTTTTTTAAAAAAAAATTACATTGCCAGTAGTACACACTGTAAGTAAATAGGGACACACAGATTTTTTTGTTTGTATTCTGTTCACCATGTGTGGTGGTTTGAATAGGTATGGCCACCATAGACTCATGTGTTCAAATGCTTGACCCATAGGAAGTGGCACTGTTGGAGGTGTGGCTTTGTTGAAGTGGGTGTGGCCTTGTTGGAGTAGGTGTGGCCTTCTTGAAGGAAGTATGTCATAGCAGGAGTGGACTTTGAGGTCTTATAAGCTCAAGTCTGGCCAGTGTGGCACACAGTCACCTTCTGCTGCCTGCGGATCTAGATGTAGAACTCTCAGCTCCTTCTCTATCACCATGTTTGCCTGCATGCTACCATGCTTCCCACCATGATGATAATAGACTAATCCGAAACTGTAAGCCAGATCCAATTAAGAGTTTTCCTTTATAAGAGTTGCCATGGTCATGGTGTCTCTTCACAGCAACAGAGCCCTAAAATACCATGCAGGCATTTGATTGCCATGTTACATGCAGAATATCTTACAGCCTCAGGTCTTCCTGTAAAACCCCTTGCCTCAGCTGCTTTTCAGACATTAGTTTACTCAGATTAGCTGTCCTCAAAATATAGGTGTCTAAGAATTTTCACATAAGGTCGTGTGCATAAAACCACACTACATGAGTTTTATGAGCAATTTCAATATCTTTCTAGGGTAATTTTGATTTTGATGATGTCAGAATTAATGTCATTGAATAAAGCAAACTTTATCATCCCAGCTCAACTTCAGCTTTTCACTCCGTTTTCCATTAGAACATAACAAACATGCTTCTTCTTGTTATTGTTGTTTTAAGACAGAGCTTCTCTGTATAACAGCTCTGGCTGTCCTGGAATTCACTTTGTAGACCACGTTAGCTTCAAACTCACAGTTTGAGCCTCTGCCTCTTGAGCGTTGGAATTAAAGGCGTGTGTCACCACCATCCAGGACAAAATGCTTATTATTAAAGTTATAATAAAAGTTGTTTAATTAGACAATTCTAATGCTTCTTGAGTAATATGGTATCTTAGTTATTTTCGTGGTCAGTTAATGTTACATGAAAGATGCACAGACATATAAATGAAGAGAAATTCCTCAAGGACCCCATCTACCTTCTAGTTTTAAATTCATTGCTCTCAATTCTATGGAAATTGAAATTCTCAATGTTTTCTGTATATCAGTCCTTTCTGCAATATGGATTATACCTTCTTCCTGGAATACTCTACCAACTGTAGCTCCCTCTCTGTATGTCTAGATCCTACTCACAAGCCCTAGGCTATTTCTTTGCTAGTATTCCTAAAGTTTCTAAATATGGCTTCTTCTTCCACCTTAAAATGTGATCTTCATTGGACAATTACTTTCTGCTTTGTAATACACCAATCAGTATGTCTTGTTGTCCCTGAAAATCTTTCAGTTTTGTGCTCCAAGTAATAATGGTAACAATGATTGTACAATTATAGTCTTTGGAGAAGCATATAACATAATACATGAAACATGCAGTATTTCAAGGGTGAGGAGAAATTCTCAATTATAAGGTATATTCAAAAAGAGATGGATCAGCTGTTGAGAGCACTGATTTCTCTTTCAGAGGACCTGGGTTTGATTCCCAGCACCCATGTGGTAGCTCACAACCATCTGCAACCTCAATTCCAGGGGATCTGAGGTCCTTTTTTGACCTCCATGGGCCCCAGATACACATGTGATGCACAAATAAACACACAGGCAAAATGCCCATACATATAAAATTTTAAAAATAAAAAGAATAAAAAGAGTAAAAAGAAAAAAGGT